AACCCAAGCACCATTCCAGTAATGGGCATTGAATACCTTATTACAGACAGGTTCCCCGATTCTGAATTCCCTTCATCTTCTCCCCCCAACCCCCACCCCACATGTCACTGCTTCTGTCTGCCTTCACCCATCACTGTCTTCATTTCTCCCATAACATAAACCTTCATTATTAGACAGTGACAATAAATTGGATTTGGGAACATTTGGGTTGGATTAGGTAAACAAACTTGGGCATAGCGCTTATTTTCTCTCAGTGATAACTTATTTTTCTAATGAGCACAATGACAACCCCCTGGTTGTTGGCGAGGATTAACTGAGGCTGCCTCTGTAGGAGGCTGGCACACAGCAGCCAGCCAGCTTCACGCTGCGGGCGTTTCCCCAGCTTAGGCTGGAAGGTGGAATCTGCAGAAGGGCCCTGCTGAGATGCCCCCACCCCTGAAAGCATCTCCTCCGGGAAGCGGCTGCAGAGAACAAAGGTTTTTTTCCGAAAAGGCCGGAGGCTGAGATGCTTGGGAGAGGGACGCATGAAAAAGGAAACACAACCACGAAGGGATTCGAACCCTCAATCTTCTGATCCGAAGTCAGATGCCTTATCCATTAGGCCACGTGGTCCCACGGCTGCCGGGTGTGGTGAAATATCACAAGTGCGTGAGAATCTGGTCGCCTCTGGCTCCTTTATCTGGTGCCATCCCAGCAAAACACACCTCGTCTCTACACCGATGTCAAGACGGTGACGTTGATAACGCACCACTTGACGCGGGAAACGGATAAGGCGAAATAGGAATTCCGATTTTCTCCATCTCTTGCCTTTCCCTTGACACCAAACTTCCTTACCGAACAGTATTTCACCCGTGTGCTGCGGGGACTCAGCTGGCCGCATGGAACGGTAAAGAAATAGGAGGGAAAAAATCCTGTGTCCCTCCGTCCTCACGGCCTCAAAGCTCGGAATGGAGACAGAGCGAGCCCCTCTGGACGTGAACGCCCCCTGGGGGACACCCCTTCCCCCAGTCCTGCCAGGACGGCCCGCAGCAGGCGGGAATCCCGGGTCTTCCTGGACCCGGCCCGCGGGGAGACCGGGGACACCCGCTGAGCACCCCGGGGAGCCGCGGTCCAGGCGCAGGCGGTGTGGGGCGCGCAGGGTGCAGCGGGGCGCGCAGGGTGCAGCGGGGCGCGCAGGGAGCAGCGGGGCGCGCGCGTCTGGAGCAGCCGCCTGCCGAGCGCGGCTGCTGGGCTCAAGGCGGTGGCTGCGTGTGTTCCTTCCTGCGCCCGATTGTCCCCAGACACCCCAGTCTCTCCCGCGCACCCGACCTCCGGCTAGTGACGGTGCCGGAGGGCGGCGCTGGTGCCTGCCTGGCGCCCTCTCCCTGGGGCGCGAGGCTAAGGGGGGAAGCCCACGGCCGGGTCGCTACCCCGCCCCCACACTGATCGAACGTCTAGAGGGGAAGTGGGCACCAAAGACAGGGATTTCTGGTAAAGGGACACCCATTTAACACATTATTTACATTTTTGTTGAGTGCTTATGGAATGAGGTGGCCTCAAAAAATGGTGTTAGGGGAAAGCAGGCGAGACCGCTCTTGCTGAGAATGCACCATCCCAAGAGCAAGGAAAAGTTATATTCTGTCTTTCCAGCCTGGGCATATTAGGAAATAGTTACCTGCTCGCCTTCTCTTTGCTTGTAAGGAGTCACGTCACACAGGTGCTCCCACTCACGGGAACGACGCCTGTGTATTTTGGAAAAGGAACAGCCTTTTTGTAAGACTTGAAAGGGGGGTGATTTTTCCCAGCGAGCTGTGTATAGAAAACTTACCTTTCAAGTGCTCCCAAGTCGATTCCAAGTCTCCCTACTTTTTTCAAAGAAAGGTGCTTCTTCCTTTTCTAGGGAAATTTTTCCTCTTGTGACTTTGACTGTATTCTACTTGCTTCCAACATTTTACCCGTGTTTTCATTGTTGTCCCCTGTCATTCTGTCTGTCCCCTTTCCTCTGTGAGCCTTTCTCTTGCATGTGTCACTGTAAATACTCCTCCTCAGGATTTAACTCCCTGTAATTTGTCCTCATTCCTACTAGGCCTGTTTGTATGACCTCTCTTTCTACAAATTTAGGAAATTATGTTAAGATTCTTCATGGCAAATCACAGGCATCCTGTTTTAGGTTAAGCAAAGCTATAGCCCCCTTAATAGAATCCAAGAAAAAGTTTTTAAAAAACGAGGTTTTGGAAAAGATAAGAGTACAGTTGTCTCTTGACAACAACTGGAACAGGGGTCTTTTTATTCTCTTTAAAAACAGATGTTGGAACTCCTCTGTCTCTCCTCATCAACCAGTTCTTTCATAATTTTTCTTAATGTCTCTGTTCTGTCTTCAGTATGATTTCTTTCAGATTTATGTTCTATTTAACTAATTCTTTTATATTTTAAACTTTGAAAAGATATTAAAGGTTATTTATAACATGTACAAAAAACACCTACCACCCATGTAAAAAATAGAGTATGACCTTGTGGATCTCCCAAAATTACAATCCGTTCCTCTTTCCTTCATCTGAGACTGGTAAATCCTGCCCGTATATAATTTACGCTATTTAAGGTTTCATACTTTTAAAACTTTTAACAAAGCTTTAAAAAATATAAGTGAAACAATATTTGAATATTATTCTCTAGCTTGGCCTTCTTAAATCCACATTCTTAAATTTAATCCATGTTGTGTGTGACTGTGGGTCACTCATTTTTTAAGTCAACTTCATTGAAATATAATGTACACACCAAAAATGCACCCACCCTTTTAATTTGATGACATTTGACAAATATGTGTGAGTGTGTGTGCTGCACCGCACACAAGCACCACAATCAGGGTACAAAACATTTCATCACCCCCCCCCCAAATTCTCTCAGTGATGACTCATTTTTACTACTATATTCATTCTAGTTGTTGAATAAATATCAGTCAAATTATCCTGTCAATGGACATTTGGGTGGTTTCTCATATGGACTTTTATAAATATTGATGTAATTTTCAAACACATGGCTCCTCCAGATTCTTGACATGTAACTGACTGGGCTTGTAAAACTGTAGGACACACACAAATATTTTCAATTTTACTAGGCAATCTCAGATTGTTTCCTAAAGTGGTTGTATCAACATGTCCATACAATCTACTGTGTAGGGGCTTTAGTTGTTCCACATTTTTGCCAACACTTGTTACTTTCATTTGGGCCAGACTAGTGAGAACAAAACAGAATTTCTTTGTAATTTAAATCAGCTTTTTCATGATTACAAATGATTTTGAGTATCTTTTTGTATGTCTTTGGCCATGTAATTTCCTTCTTTGAAGTGCTTATTTTGCTAACTTTTCCATTTAGTCACCTTTTTCCTCATTGATTTGTAGTAATTCTTTATATATATATATTTAAGATGATTCCTTTTTTTAAGATTTATTTATTTATGCATACAAGAGCTGGGGTACAGGCCAGAAGTTGGAGGGTATGAGAGGATTCATCAGAGACAGAGTGAGGAGCAGAACAGGCAGTCTGACTGAAATACACTGCTGAGGGGAGCAGAGGGGATTGCTTGGGAGGCCCTGTTTTTGTTTTTTTTTGTGTGTGTGTGTGTGTGGTTTTTTTTTTTTTTGCCTTTTTTTTTTTTTTTTTTAGTGTTCCTTAACAAACCTGACCCTTTGCTCTTATGAATTTTAGATACAGTTGTAATACTGTATGAAAACTCTATATTAGTAGGACCTCCCTGGTGGAGCAAAGGGGTTAAGACCCAACCTATGACGCTATCCGCAGCCACTGCAGCACAAGTTCGATCCCAGGGAGCTACCCACATGGTGCAGCAGACCTTTCCTGTCTCCCCACTGCTCCCCTCAGCAGTGTATTTCGGTCAATCTGCCTGTTCTGTTTCCCACTCTGTCTCTGGTGAATCCTCTCACTCTCCACACCTCTGGCCTGTACCCAGTTCTTATATGCATAAATAAATAAATCTTTCAAAAAAAAAAAAAGAAAACTCTATTAGTATATTCAATAGAAATGTAAACTATCATCTTCATAAGTCTTTCAAATATGTCCATTTTCCTTCATTCCTGCTACCATTTCCTCTATCCAAACCATTATCATTAGTCTTTTGTTACTAAAGCTTCTTTGGTCTCCTTGCCTCTAGCACTCCAACTTACTTTCCGCAGGGTAGTCAGAGAAATCTTGCTAAAATACAATCCAAGTCACCTTCCATTTGTCATCCTTTTGTGACCTCCAAAACCCCCAGAATTAAGGCTGGGCTCAATTAAGGCATGTTTAATTCTGAATTGGCTTCTGCTGACCTCCAGCTCCCTTTTCCAGCCTGCAGCTCTCCACCTTACCCCATGCTTCCATCACTATTAGTTCCTCAAATTAACTAACTGAAGATTTTTCAGTTAGGAAAACAGTAATTTGGATAACTTGTCCTTCTAAAGATGACAGAGATTTCAGTCAGAAATTAATTTGAAAGAAAAACTAGAACACATCATGATTGTCATCACACACTTGAAAGTCATATAGTCCAGGACAGTCCTCTGCTTTTTTCCCTTTTTGTATTTTTGAATGAGTTCAAGGTTTAAAATATAATTGTATCAGTGATAGTAACAAATGGATTGCAAATTCAACACAAGTGTATCAGAATACAAAGCACATCGAATGTTCTTTGAACCGGTAAACAAATGTCTTCTTGCCTAATAATCATAATGAAGTCTAATTATAGTGTTTGGAGCCTTCACAATAATCTATCTTGGTATACACCAGAAGGCTCATGTTAACATTTCACGGTATACACACTATATTGCAGTAAAGCTGGTGAATAAAAAAGAATGGACAGTAAGACAATAACACAAACTGGGGAGGGAGAAAAGACAGATATTCCTAAGTTTTTAAAAAAATCAAGGTAAAGCAATTTACACCTATGGTACTGAGTCATTTGCAGGAAATATAAGGCAGGCATCTAATTCAAATAGCCAAGAAAGCATCATACCAAAAATCTTGCCCAGATGATTTTAATTATTTTCTCAGATATTCAAAATGCATTCTTTTTGTCCCTCACTTGATTTTCTCCCAAACCACTTTTAAGTATTTTTAGAAATATAAAATCATCAAGTTGCTTTTTAAATTGAAAATGGGAAGCACCATACTTTATTGAATCAATAAAACAAATGACAAAGTTAAAAAACTTTAGTCTATTTCCAAAATATAATCAGATAGGAAAGAGGGCATGTAAGATGAAGGCAGGTGGATTAAACACTGTCTCCTAAATCTACTTACCATCAGCTTTTTTTTGGAAAAACCTGCAATATTTAATTATTAACAAACTATATAAAATAATCCTACTGAGACTTCACAACTGAATGTGAAAATGTCTCCTCCACTTGCAAAGGTTTTTGGCATCTACTCCTTTGAACTTTCTTATCAAATGGCTAAATTATTGGTGACATTTTGTATTGCTAAATCTTTCCCTTCTTCGCTTTCAATATCACATTTCTTTGAAAAGAAACATTTATGTAAGTACCTTCCCTGTCTAGGAAAAAACTCATTTTCTTAGGAATACTCGAAGAAGGGCCTCCCCTGGTGGCGCAGGCGGTTGAGCGCAGCGCTGTGAAGCTGTCCGCAGCCTCTGCAGCACCGGTTCCATACCAGCCGGCCAGTGAGGGTACCACATGGCGCTGCGGACCTCTCCTGTCTCGCCCGCTGTCATTTAAACAAAACACCCCCTCAGCAGTGTATTTCGTCAGTCTGCCTGTTCTGTCCCCCGCTCTGTCTCTGAATCCTCTAAACCCTCCTGAGCATCTGGCCTGTACCCAGGTTCTTGTATGAGTAAATAAATAAATCTTTAAAAACAAGAAAAAAAGAATCCTCGAAGAAGCTGCCTTATGCTAATAGTGTTTTCAGTAATTCTGAGGACACAGATTAGAGAGCAGATATATGTGGCATTTTTTCTGAGTCATCTCACTACAATAAAGGTTATTAAATCCACTTGAGAAATCAATAATCCCCAACTTTGTCCCAGAGAACCTTAAAGGCAATCAGCTCTGGCAAAATCTGAAAACCTCCACCTGACATGAACTTGTCACTATGGCCTCACCCCCCACCATTCTGAAATCTGAATTTGGGAGTCCAAAGCCATAACAGTATTATAAGACAAAGGTTTCCCCTCCCCACCTCACCCACTGTGTCTAAACATGAACCTACCAAAAGAACTTACAACCCAACTGCTCAGGATCACTTGACAAGTTCAACACCTTACCCACTACCCTGCTTTCCAAGATTCTTTCCTTGAATTCACTTCCCTTCACTGACCTAGTCTGATGCTTCAAAGAATCATCCCTCATGCTGAAGTCCTCCTACCATCTTAATATCCTAATGAATTACAATAAAAAATTACATACTAAATATAAGACCAAATTTTTAAATATTAGAATCAACCTATTTAAAATTACATTTAAATAAATATAACAAACGTGAAAAATAAAAATAAAAGGATAAAACTGCACACATAATTGAAAGTATACATATAGGCAATTTAGAAAACTGCTATTTTAATCACAACTATGCCTACTTCCATGAGGCCTATATGTTGACTTTGAAAGAACACTTTGTAACTCAGCATTTGAAGTTTTTAATGTGATAAATGAGCTTGCTTCTTGCTCGTTAATTTGTCTAATCTAGGCTGGATGGAGGACAATGCTACTCTTAGGGGATAATGGATGTTTAAACTGTTCCTATGTTTGTTTTAATGACACTTAAAGTAGAGAACCCAGTCTCACAGAGGTAAGTTGAGGGGAACAAAAGGAGAGATTTTAAAGCAATCTCAGCAAGTTCAGGGTATTCACTTTTCACTTTTATCCAAAATGAAGGAAGTGATGCTGTATTGTCAAAATTCATTTTTAAACCTTCATCAGTAGCCAGCCTCAGCAGCTCATCCTGTAGAGTTACAGTTAAATTTAAATGATCTTTTGATGAAAGAAATGGATTTTGGATCCATGAATTTCCTATGCGTGGATCTTCTTTTGAGGGACAATAAAATTCAAAGCAAACTAACAAATTTGTAAGATGCTCATTGATAACTTTTCGCAGGTGTGCAATATCAAGATCGTTACCTACTTCATTGATAAGTGTCGTCAGGTTATGGAACATGTCATAACAATCTGTGGAAACTCTCCTTTTCCAAGCTTCTAACTTTTGCTTTTGTCCTTCAATCTTATCTGCCATTGAGAAACATGTAGCATTCTTCCCTTGCATGGACGCATTCAGATCATTAAAAACACTGAAGATGTCAGATAAGTAAGCAAGGCTGGCTGTCCAGTTCACATCTTTAAACAGCTGGGACCAAGCTGGTTTTTTGCTCTGCAGAAACACCAGCAGTTCATTTCGTATTTCAAACATTCTCGACAGAACTTTCCCACGCGACAGCCACCGCATCTCAGCGTGTAAGAGCAGTTGCTTATGATCAGTTTCCATATTATCACATAATAGGGAGAATAATCTTGAATTTAATGCATTAGATTTCACATAATTCACAATTTTTACTATGTCCGTAAGCACCCTATTTAGTTCGGCTGATATTTTTTTCATAACAAGACTTTCCCGGTGAATGAAGCAATGAGTTATTTTACATTCTGGTGCAAGTTCCTTAATCTGGGTGACCACCTCAGAATGTTTACCTGTCATTGAAGCTGCACCATCAGAACACACGCCTACGCAGAACTTAAATTCCAGACCACACTTGTTGACAATGTAATTCTTCACAGCTTCATATAGTTCCGAGTTAGTTGTGTTTGTTGGCAAAGAGGCTGAAAAGAAGAATTCTTCCTTTATGTCATCATCATGTTCGAACCTCACATATACTAAAAGAACGATCATGTTTGCGATATCTCTGCATTCATCAAATTGCAATGAAAAATACTTGGCTTGTTTGATTTGTTCGATGAGCTGGTCCTCCATGTCATTAGCCAGTTCCTGGATCCTCCGAGCGATGGTGTCATTGGACAGCGGCACTTGTGCCACCTTCTTGGCTGCTGACTCACCCAGCATTTCCAAGCAGACTTCTTTGATGCAGTCTTTCACAAGCGTCTCTGCAATTGTGTAGGGCGTTTTAGACTTCGCAACCGGAAGTGCTACTTTGTAAGATGCCCGCAAAGCACTAATGTTGATGTGAGAAACACTGAACACTGGCTTTGGTTGGCTTTTTAATTCACTACTCTTTCTCTCAAAGAATTCTTTCGGTTGGGAACTTATTTCTTTATGTTTTGAATACAAATGCCGCTTCAATTTTGACGGTTTCATCGCCTCATTAGCCAGTACATCTCCACAAATAATGCACTGTGGTTTTAGCACTTCACCGTCAATTATGGCCACAAAACCAAACTCGATGTAGGAGGGATCGTACTTGCGAGTGAAAGTAGTATGAACTCTTTTGGTTTTCACCTCTTCAGGATGACTCCCATTGTTACCATTTCTTTTACTATTGCCTCTGTATTCAGAAAAGGCGTGTCTTTTCTTGACAAAGAAGTCCAGTGAAGCTTGTTTTGCCATCTGCAAATTAGGATTAAAAACAAATAATACAAAATTTACTTGCCTCTATCTAATAATGCTAAACTACAAATTAACTAGGCTTGACTAAAAATAAAAAAAGGATTTAAAACTATAATTCAATATATTGTATACACAATATGCTTACTTTATTATATATAACTTTATAATTAATTATAAAGATAAATGCTTACATTTCCTCAGCGTTCTACATCTTTCGGGGTAATGGCTGACAAAGAACTCATAAAATATCACAGGTTGTGATGTGAAACTGTTGGGCTTGATTAGTGTGCAACTCCACTGCATGTGACTCAGCGTGAGCCTCTAACACCACTGAGCTGGTCAATATTCTCTTAGAAAAGATGAGTCCATTAACCGTACACCTGATGTTGCAGGAATGTCAGATTGTACTCAGTCTCTGTGTACTCTCATCTGCATACGGATCTTATTATGGTATACATGCTTTGCAAACTAGAACCCGTCTAAAGATGACACTCTGGTCCAAATGATGTGTAACCACTATATTTCAAAATTCTGATCTGAACATATAATCACCCTACTTTAGATGACCTATTGATTTAAAAATTCTCTTTTTTGGTGATGGATGGAAACTGGACTTTGGTGACAAGCATAATATAGTATTGCTGATATATGTCTGTATACCTTAAACTATCTATTTTTTAAAAATTTATTTATGTATACAAGAATTGGAGTGTAGAACTGAGTTACAGGGGGTGAGAGGATTCACCAGAGACAGAGTAGGGAACAGAACAGGTAGACTGACTGAAATACACTGCAGAGGGGAGCAGCGTGTGAGGCAGGAGAGGTCTGCTGCACCATGTGGGTTGCTCCCTGGCCTGCCGGATCGAACTTGTGCTGCAGTGGCTGGCAATAACTTGATAGTGCTGTGTTTTTAAATCATGCACCACCAGGGAGGCCCCTTGAGCTTATATTTTGTAAGCCAATGTTACTTCAATAAAAAAAAAGTATTTAGCCTCATTCTGCATTTAAATCTAAAGCCTGAATTCTTTCCCAACCCAAATCCTTATCTTCCAACAACCAAAGTTATCATCCCCTCCCCTTCCTAAATATTTCTTCACTTGATCTGAAATGTTCTTTCTTAGCATATCTCCCATCCAGACTCACAAACCATTAAAAGAAAGTAACATTAAATTCACCGTTCCCAAATTAATTTTTCTGTAGAAAACATACCATCAAACACACCATTTATCCCGTGATTGTGACTTTCTTAAGAAATGCCTGGTATCAACATCAGAAAGGAATAAAAAGATATTGCTCATCACCCCAGAACAAAAATAAAGCAGCACTGAAGGCTGTAACTTCCAACTTGAACAAAAGAAGTGGGGGAGGGCCTTTCTTTGGAGAAAACATATCAAAGATGGCCTGCGTGGTGCTTTAACATATCACGTCAAAACACTGTCACTCAGGGGCCTCCCTGGTGGCACAAGGGGTTAAGACGAAACCTATGAAGCTGCCGTAGCCACTGCAGCATAAGTTCGATCCCTGGTCAGGGAGCTATCCACATGGCGCAGCAGACCTCTCCTGACTTGCCTGCTGCTCCCCTCAGCAGTGTATTTCAGTCAGTCTACCTGTTCTGTTCCCCACTCTGTTTCTGGTGAATCCTCTCACCCCACACCCCAACTCTGGCCTATACCCAGTTCTTGTATGCATAAATAAATAAATCATTAAAAAAAAATATTCTTACTCAGGGCCTCCCTGTTGGCACAAGGTGTTAAGCTTCAGCACTGTGAAGCTATCTGCAGCCTCTGCAGCAAGAGTTCAATTCCCGGCCAGCCAGAGAAATACCCACATGGCGCAGCAGACCTCTCCTATCTTGCCCGCTTCTCCCCTCAGCAGTGTATTTTGGTCAATCCGCCTGTTCTATTACCTACTCTGTCTCTGGCAAATCCTTTTACCCCACACCCTGGCCTGTACCCCAGTTCTTGTATGCATAAATACATAAATCTTTTTTTAAAAAATTCTCACTCATCATGGTCACAGCAAAGTGTAAAGAGGCTCTCCTCTGCTTTGGTCTATAGCAGACACTCAAACTCTTACCCAATCTCCTACTTTGTTGGATGAAAAAGGTGTCTCTGATGACTTCAGCATTTTTGAAGGTTGAACATTCAAGCTTCTTTGAATCTCACTCTGTTTCCTCTTCACAGCAGTGGTCTCATTGCAGAGACTGCAAGTTATTCTATGGTGACAGCCCTCAGCCTCATGTGAAGAGGGGACGCCACAGACGGGGTAGACATTCCTGTCACAGGACATACAACTATTAGCACCTGTGCACTCTTTTTCACAGACTACACAAGATAAAAATTTTAGTCTGTTTTCAGGGTGGTTTCTTTGGGCCACCAGGGGAGGAAGAGAAAGATTCTCTTCAATGTCACTACTCTCTGTGCCGGTCTCAGTGTTTTCTTCATAGTGCGCTCTTAGAGTATTTTCTAACTCTCTGTCAGGCTGTTCTAAGTCATTATCTGTGTTCAGGCTGGCAACAAGCTCTTCAGTTAACTGAGAATGAGACAGGCCCAGTTTAGCCTCAGAGCTAAAAGGACCTTCACATGGAGCCTGCTGCATGCCTCTGTGATAGGAACGGTTTTGGGTCATCTGAATGAACCATAAAAATTCAGCCCAGTGTGATGAATTGTTAGTTTGCATCCAGGAGATAATCCTATTTTGGATGTCCTCATTAGTCTGATCAGTAGAACTTTGACTTTGGCAAGGTTGAGACTTCCCATGGACAATTTTCAGTTCTGGCCAAATATTACTGAGTTCACTGACAATCTGGCTTGAAAACTCCCTCCCATTGTCAGATTGTAGGACACTGGGGGCACCAGTGATTGTAAAAATATCTAACAGAGCATGCGCAACCTCTTTAGGTCTTTTAGATTTTAATGCCCGCAAAAAGCTCAACTTTGTACGAAGGTCTTGATAATGCATAATAAATTTGTACTCCCCATCAGGATTCAATTGCATGTCTATAAGATCCACTTGACATCTTGAGTTAACTTCCTTAAGTGGCTTGTAAGTTAGAACTTTCTTGAGTTTTGAATTTTTCTGCTGGCAAGGTTTGCAGAGTGTCAAGTATAGCATAATAACTTCTTTTGTGATGTTCTTATATTTTGCTTGTAACTCTTTTTCCATGCGGGTACGTCCGCCATGTCCAATGCTGAGATGTGTATCGTGCAGAATGTCAAATAAGTCCTCACTGTGTAAATAATACCGTATTTTATCTGTGTCTCCGTTTACAGCTTCAATCAGCTTCTCATTGCCTTGTACCAGAATCACATCAAATCTAGCCAATCGACGATAGTCAACTGACTCCTTTTTTGCCTTAGCTTTAGCCTCTTTCACTTCCTTTATTAACTGACAGTACTTTGCTTTAGAAAATATCTTGGTATTATTACTTTTATTTTCTAGTAACACTACTAAGCTTCTGAAAAATTTTTCTCTCATGTTTTCTGGTTCAATTTCTGCTTCATTAGAATCCAAGCTACTGAGGTTATCATCACCCATGCTTTGAGACATCATGGAAAGCCACAAAATGACCCTAATGTGTAAAGAAAAAAAAAAAACAATTAGAATGTATAGGAATGTAATTTAAAATACATACAGTTGGGCCTCCCCAGTGGCGCAGCGGTTGAGCGCTGGCTTGCGAAGCTGCCCGCAGCCTCTGTAGCGCCGGTTCAATCCCTGGCTGCTCCCCGGCCACTGGAGGAGGGTCCCACATGGCGTGCAGACCTCTCCTGCCTCCGGCTGCTCCCCTCCCCTTCTCCCTGCTCTGCTCCCTGCTCTGGCTCTGGTGAATTCTCTCACCTTCCCGTGCTTCTGACTGTACCCAGTGCTTGAATCAATCAATCAATCAATCAATCTTGTATAAATAAATAAATTTTAAAAAAAGTTTCTTCTTTAAAAAAAAATAAAATAAAATAAAATACATACAGTCTTGAATTATTTAGAATTAGTGTCAACAATAGTCTTATAGCTGCTTGGGAAAAATACTTTCTCTCAAGTCAACATTGTTTAAACTACCTATTCTTATAACACATATTGAACTGGCAAATTTTATTATTTTTAATTTAAATTTTATTTTTATATTCCCCTTACAATTACAACCCCCTTATTTTGACCCCAAGCCCTCCTTCCCCGCCCGCCACCCCCCATAGAGTATCTCTGGTTCATAGTTGTTTGTTGATTTTGATATTTTCTTTCTTTTATATATTTTGATATATTCTTTTGATATATTATTTTTCCTGGTCTCTTATTTAAGTTTTCTAGATTCCTGCTATGAGTGAGACCATCCAGTATTTTTCTTTTTCTTTCTGTCTTATTTCGCTGAGCATGATCCCTTCCAGCTCCATCCATGTTGCTGCAAATTGCATGTTGAATTGGCAAATTTTAAACCATACTTAATTGTTCATAATTTCCAAAACAAAGTATATTAATGATATGTTACTGGGTGTTTGGGTTTCACTTAATTCTCAATTGTTCCAATAAGAATTCCTTGATCATTTAATTTAAATTCACATTGAATTCTCCTTTCTTGAAAAACATAATTTATTCATAACACAAACTAGTGTAATGCTTTTTTCTTTTATAGCTTCATATGTAGAGCAAGAGTTTAAGTTTATGAAGAGGTAGGGATCACTTATTTCTCTAGTATCTTTCCATCATCTAACATATTACTACATAGAAAAAAGGGCTGCAGGGCCTCCCTGGTGGCACAGGGATTAAAGTCTCAGTGCTATCAAGCTAGCCACTGCGGCATGAGTTCATCCCCAGCCAGGGAGGTGACCTACATAGTGCAGCAGACCTCTCCTGCCTCCTCACTGCTCCTCTCAGCAGTGTATTTCAGTAGATCTGCCTGTTCTGCTCCCCACTGTCCCTTGTGAATCCTCTCACCCCCCACCCCGCACCTCTGGCCTACACCCAGTTTTTGTATACATAAATAAAAAAATAAATCTTAAAAAAGAAAAGAAAAAGGGCTACATCAAAATTGACTAACTTACAATGAAGATGACAGCCCTGGTAGTGTTATCTCCAAATGTGACTGAAGAGAACATTATATGGCTAGTATTTCTTCCCACACTGATATAGTGTGTGCTTTTCTATGAAGCCATGAGCAGAAAAGGCAAGCTATAGCAATGTAAATAACAACCAGGGAGTTCTGAGCTCCAGAAGTTATTCAAATTGATTTTAGTAGGTCTAGGATAAGCAGGGAATAGGGAGTTGGTACAGCTATAAGAGGAGGAAAAATATGTATTGGTTATACTTAAGCCTTTTGGAAAAGACAGTTGCTCCAGAACTAGGCCAGCCGGTGCTCCTGCCTCCACTCCACATTGCACTGTAGGATCTCTAATAGACATAACTTTAGACATTCCATTTCCTTCTGTAGAATTTTTTTTTAAAGATTTTTTTTATTTATGCATATAAGAACTGGGGTACAGGCCAGAGGTTGGGGGGTGAGAGGATTCAGTAGAGACAGAGTGGGGAACAGAACAGGCAGACTGACTGAAATACACTGCTGAGAGGAGCAGCGGGTGAGTCAGGAGAGGTCTGCTGCGCCTTGTGGGTAGCTCCCTGGCTGGGGATCGAACTGGTCATGGCTGCTGCGGACAGCCTCATAGGTTGAGGCTGCATCTTAACCCCTTGCACCTCCACGGAGACCCCTTCTGTAGAATTTCTTTTTTTTTTTTTTTTTAATAGAGACATGTTTTATTTATTTATTTGTTTGTTTGTTTTGCTTATACATGCACTGGGTACAGTCAGAAGTGTGGGAGGGTGAGAGAATTCACCAGAGCCAGAGCGGGGAGCAGAGCAGGTAGAAGGACCTAAGTACACTGCTGAGGGGAGCAGCGGGAGGCAGGAGAAGTCTGCGCACCATGTGGGACCCTCTCCGGAGGCAGGAGAAGTCTGCGCACCATGTGGGACCCTCCTCCGGAGGCCGGGGAGTGGCCAGGGAGCAGCCGGGGATCAAACTGGCGACGGAGTGGCCGCTGGCAACTTCGCAACCCAGCGCTCAACCGCTGCGCCACTGGGGAGGCCCCTTCTGTAGAATTTCTAAGTAGTATTTCCAAGTCTTAAGTGACAAAATTTGGGGACCGAGGTTGTAGAAATGGGACATATGTAAATGCTCCTAACATTTACATAGAGTGACAGCTCTGATTTATCCATAGGTATTTAACTCCATTGCAAAGGAAAAGCAGGGAAAAGCTTATATTCAACTATTTTTTACAGGATTACCCTGACTGCTTAGTTCAGCAACTTTATTAATCTAGCACTAGACTGGCTGATTTTTTTTTCCCTGTAGCCATATTCAGTAGAAGTGTGAATGGGATGAAGTTTGGAAAATTTTCAGTGGCTAGAACCTTTCCTCTCCCCAAATCTCATCTTCCTTCCAGACACTATTATCCTCACCATTATCTTGAAGTGTGTGTGGCTCTGGAGAGTCACAGTCCATCCTGTCTTCAAAGACTGGAGCTGGGTACCTAAGGGTTCCTTTGTAGCTTCCAGAGGAGCCATTTCTTCATAGAAACTTCCTGCCCAAAGGGCCTTGTGGGACCTGGGGACAAACAGGTACATTTGAGTTAATGTAAGTAATCACTGTACAAACCATAGGCTAAACCTAAAAACATTCTTCTACTGAAGTAGATATAAGGAGAAAAAAAAAAGTTTTCATTGAATCTTTAGAAGAGTACAAGGTGGAATGAGAAACAAAATACACTGGCCCAATAAAGACAGTAAAAGGAGCTAGTAGTTTCTTCCTGTGGTTTCTGAAACAACATCAAAACACAATAAAGGAATCTGTTCAAAAATTTTGATATACTGAGGGGGAGGAAGCAAATATTGTTTAATTGATGAACAATGATGTAAAAAACAATAAAAAAATTATATAAAAAATGAAAAAAAAAATTTTGATAAACTGAGAGGAAATTATAAGGAGTTTCAG